GTCTCTCTCTGTCTCTGTCTCTCTCTGTCTCTCTCTCTATCACATATATATATAAAAGAAATATATATATATATATATTCAGCACAAATACTACACACGCACACACACACACATATATATATATATATATATGATAGAGAGAGAGACAGAGAGAGACAGAGACAGAGAGAGATACTGCAGTGAGCCTTGATTATTTGCTGTGGATCCTGCATTTTGATTCCATATCACCCATGGCAAGAATTCCTCGTAGATTTTTCTCTCTGACCCCATTTTTCCAATCTAAATTGAAACCTATGGCTGCATTAAAGTGGAACATTTGTCCACAGGAATGCCTCGGAAGAATGGCTCGCAGTTGCGACTTACCTCGTCAGAGTCGATGGTAACCGCACGGACTGCATCATCTCCATTTTTGTGGGCGTAAACATGAATGCTGCCATCATCCATCGAAGAGGGGGTGAAACGGGAATCTGCTCTGGCCTGTGACCTTTCTCTCAGGCTCGGGTCCACAATGCTGGTTGTCCACCCAGGCTCGGACCTTGAGGGGTGAATCTTGGGGATGTGCTTCGTAAGAAGGGGAGACTGGCGAGGCATCTTTCAAAAAAGAAAAAAGTTTTGGAAAGTGGAGGCTGAGCTCAAAGTATGCTGACCCTTTCTTCAGTGGGAAGCAATGGAACTCTGGGTCATAGGGGGAAGATAGCAAGGTAAGGATTGAGCCACGGTGGTGCAGTAGTTAGAGTGGAGTATTGCAGGCTATTTCTGCTGACTGCCGGCTGCCTGCAATTTGGCAGCTGGAATCTCACCAGGCTCCAGGTTGACTCAGCCTTCCATCCTTTCGAGGTGGTCAAATGAGGACCCAGATTGTTGGGGAGCAATATGCTGATTCTGTAAAACTGCTTGGAGAGGGCTGTAAAGCATTGTGAAGCGGTATATAAGTCTAAGTGCTATTGCTATTCCTTCCTTCCTTCCTTCCTTCCTTCCTTCCTTCCTTCCTTCCATGGCGCGCAGTGGGTTAGAATGTAGTATTGTACGCTAACTCTGCCAGCAGTTTGAATCTCACCCGGCTCAAGGTTGACTCAGCCTTCCATCCTTCCGAGGTGGGTAAAATGAGGACCCAGAGATTGTTGGGGGCAAATAGGCTGACTCTGTAAACCACTTAAGAGACGGCTGCAAAGCACTATGAAGCGGTGTATAAGTCTTGTGCTATTTGAAGTGGCTGAGCGTATTCTGTGCAGGGTGTCCTCGGCTTACGACCACAATGAAGCCCAGAATTAATGTTGATAAGCGAATCAGTTAAGTGAATTTTGCTCCGTTTCCAAAATCTTGCCACAATTGCTAAATGAATCACTGCAAGAATCACATGGTTGTTAAGTGAATCTGGCTTCCCCCTTGACATTGCTTGTCAGAAGGTCACAAAGGGGGGGAAATCACGTGACCCCGGGACGCTGCAAACCGTCATGAATACACACTAGTTGTCAAGCGTCCAACTTTTGACCATGTGTCCAACGTTCGTAAGTCTGAAAATGGCCAAAAGTCCCTTTTATTTTTAGTGCCATTGTAACCTCAGTCACTAAATGAGTGGTTGTACGTTGAGGACTACCTGCACAAGTTTGGGGTGTCAAGAAAGATGAAAGTTTCCATACCTCTTTGGGACTGGTGATTTGCTGGATGAGAGAGACGCGGTCCCGAACTGGCTTGCTCAGAGACACCTCCTTGGGAACCAGGGTGATTGGATTGTCTTCGGAATGGGCAGCTGAAAAGATGGAAGGAGAGCAAGGAAGACCTTGAGACACGGAGCCTGCTGTGCCTGCTGGTGTGTGAGTTGCTCAGAGGCGCCTCAGCTATCTTGGGATGCCCTTTCTCAACTCTGTTTCGCCCGATTGGCTTTTGATTTCGGTTTCCGTAGGGCTTGTTAGCAGCCCAGAATTAATTGGATAAGATGGGAAGGGAGGGAGGATGCATGTACTGTATTTTTCAGACTATAAGACGCTCCGGAGAATAAGATGAACCATGATTTTGAAGAAGTAAATTTTTTTAAAAAAAAAGTTTTTGCACTCTGCAGGCCTCCCAAACCCTCTGCACGTCTCATATTTTGAAGGAAAAAAAAGGGCTTTGGAAGGCTTGTAGAGCGCTCCTGGGGGCTGGGGAGGGGGCCAAAAACAAGCAAAAAACAGTTTACTGTTTACTGTTTATTAAATTTATAGGCCGCCCAATCCCGGAGGACTCCGGGTGGCTTACAGAAATAAAAACATAAAGAAGATTAAAAACAAATAAAACACAACAAATTTAAAAGAAACACAACATGCACCCAGTCTAAGCGGGGCTGGACCTCAATCCAGAGGTCAATAGCCCCAGGCCTGCCGGAAAAACCAGGTTTTGATAGCTTTACAGAAGGCCATGTGAGTGGGTAGGGTCCGGATCTCTGGGGTTAGCGTTCAGGAGTGAATGGGTTATCCTAAACAGGGTGGCTGGGCGAGATTCTGGGGACGCAATAAGAGCGGAAAAATGAGGACATTTTGCTGCCCGTATTGCCACTAAATAAGTCCTAATAAAGTCTCTTAGTAGTGTTCAGTCGGATTTGGAGTTGCTAGCCCTCCAGCGTTGCTCTAGGCGTCTCTTTTGGCGCTTCATCTCCCGGAGTTCCTCGGTGAACCAAGGTGCCCTCCTGGATCCACTGCCGCGGAAAGGCCACAAAGGCGCAATCCGGTCTAGCGCCTCAGTTGCCGCTGTATTCCAGGCGGCAACCAAGGACTCTGTCGGATTGTGGGCAAGAGAGTCAGGTATCTCCCCAAGCTCCTTCTGAAATCCCAGCGGGTCCATCAGGTGCCTGGGGCGGAACCACTTAATCGGTTCCACCTCCCTGCAGTGGGGAAGTAGCTTCTGAAAATCAAGCCTCAACAGGAAGTGATCTGACCAAGACAAGGGTGAGATCTCTATACCCCTTAACTCAAGATCACGTCTCCACTGCCCCGAGAGAAACACTAGGTCGAGCATGTGTCCCGCTCTATGAGTCGGACCCTGAATTACCTGGATCAAGTCCATAGTTGTCATGGAAGCCATGAACTCCTGGGCCCCATCAGAGCATTCGCCTAGGGACGGCAGGTTGAAGTCCCCCAGTACTATCAGTCTGGGGAACTCAACCGCCAGCCCGGCTACTGACTCCAGGAGCGCTGGCAGGGTTGTTGTGACGCAGCTGGGGGTTGGTACGTCAAAAGCAAGCCCACTTGAACCCCTAGGTCCAACTTCAAGAGAAGGGACTCACACCCAACAGTCTCCGGAGCAGGGATCCTGCGAGGAACTAATGATCCTCAGATAATAATTGCCACTCCCCCACCCCTTCTCTGATGTTGTGGTTGGTGGAGCACCTGGAACCCTTCCGGGCACATTTCTGAGAGGGGGACTCCTCCCTCATGGCCCAGCCAGGTTTCAGTAATACATGCCAGGTCTGCCCCCTCGTCAAATATCAAGTCCCAGACGAGGGGAGTTTTATGAATCTCAGACCTGGCATTTAGCAACAACAACCTGAGACCAGGGTCCTGGCTTCTCTTGCCACCAGGTTCTTGAGTTGAGTTTACAGGGCCGGAACAAGGGATCGCTGTGACGTAGCGAGCCCTCCTTCCCCGGTAATGGCTAGCCCTGTAGCTCCCGTCATACCTGCCCCTCCCCATCATGACCATTTCACAAAAATGGGCCATTTTTTGCACACACACAAAAAAGGCATGCAGAGCTTTGGGAGGCTTGTCCTGGGGTTTGGGGGGGAATGAACAAAAATGAGACGTTTTTTGCAAAATAAAAGAGGGGGGTCATGCAGAGGCTTTGGGAGGCATGTAGAGTGCTCCTGGGGGCTGGAGAGGGCAAAAACGAGCAAAAATGCCCCGTTTTTTGCTCATTTTTGCCCTTTCCAGCCCCCAGGAGCACTCTGGAAGCCTCCTAAAGGCCCTGCGTGTCCATTTTTGTGAAGAGGGTGGGTTTTCTGGATGTCAAAAATGCTGTATTCAGTGTATAAGATGCAGCCTGATTTTCACCCTCTTTTTTGGGGGTGGGGGATGGTGCGTCTTATACTCCGAAAAATAAGGTATATGTTTTGAATCAATAAAGTTACCATTAGGATTATGGCTCGTTTTCAATTTCCTTCTTCTAGAATGGCTTTCAGTCTGTGATCTAAGACACTAGGCCAGTGTTTCTCAACCCTGTGTCAGGCCCAGAAGCCATCTTGGGCATTAGATCTTCAGGCCTGCCACATTTAGTGCTGTGGGAAACTGGGAGGGGGGATTATATGGAGTATGGGAGATATATAGTCATAATAACATTCCTGTCTCCTAGAGTCAAGGACATTTTGCCCTGCACCTGGAGGGGTGTGACTGGGAGGCACCTCCAGTTGGGATGGTGCTTTGATTGGGCCATGTGATGGACATGTGGGTGCTGGGCGGAGGCTTGGACTTTTGTTTGGGTGGGGAAAACCTGGAAACTTTCACATTCGGGTTTTCCCAGATGTGCCAATAGGACATCTCTAACAAAATGGAACTTTGAGGAACTTCAATCCCCGGAGTCTTCTTTCATTGGGGTCTTACTTGGAACCCTGACACCTAGACAATTATGAGATGAGTGGACTTCAACTTCCAGAATTAACTAGCTGGGGAACTCTGGGAGTTGAAGTCCACCATCTTAAAGTTATCAAGGTTGGGAATCATTGCACTAGGATTTCAGAGACATTTAGACTAGACTAGAATAACAGAGTTGGAAGGGACCTTGGAGGTCTTCCAACCCCCTACCTAGGCAGGAAACCCTACACCACTTCAGAAAAATGATTATCTAATCTTTTTAAAACATTTGTTGGGAATTGAGCCATGGTGGTTCAGTGGTTGACGTACTGTATTGCAAGCTAACTCTGCTGACTGTCAGGAGTTCGATCCTGACCGGCTCAAGGTTGACTCAGCCGTCCATCCTTCCGAGGTCGGTAAAATGAGGACTCATGATTGTTGGGGGCAAGAGGCTGACTCTGTAAACCGCTTAGAGAGGGCTGTAAAAGCACGGTGAAGTCTAAGTGCCTTTGCTATTGCTATTTTGACAGTGAGAAGATAAGTACAAGTAGACATGAAATGATTCATCAACCTAATAAATCAATCCCTACATAAATGGAGTTATACCTCAATATATTCTTGGTTTATTCTGTAAGAGGGGAGGTAGTTCAGAAAGCTGCCTGTGCATTGTTTCTGTTTTTCAGTCTCCTAAATTCACTCACTCACCAGAATAGGAATTCAAAGTGCTTTTCTGAATAGAGTCATATGGCATTTTGGATCCATCAGAAGGGAACCTGAAGAAAAAGATTAAGAGAAAGGCTACTGCATAACAAATTGGTTTTTTTCTTTTGTCCAGAGATTCAGCCACTATCAGTCAGCAAGACAAAGTCTAGCGTGGTAAGGATGGGGGTCAATTGAACCTGACCAAACAAACTTGATTTTGCAATGTGCAATAAACCTTTGGGCTCAGAGAATGATACGGTACATGAGTTTCGAGGGCTCTTTTGAATAGAATAGAATTGGAGGACACTTTGGAGGTCTTCTAGTCCAACCCCCTGCTTAGGCAGGAAGCCCTACACCACTTCAGACAAATGATTATCAAACATCTCTTTAAAACTTCCAATGTTGGACATTCACAACTTTGGGGGCAAGTTGCTCCACTGATTAATTGTTCTCACTGTCGGGCAATTTCTCCTTACTTCTAAGTTGCTTCTCTTCTTGATTAGTTTCCACCCATTGCTTCTTGTCCTGGCCTCAGGTGCTTTGAAGAATTGCTTGCCTCCCTCTTCTTTAGGCAGCCCCTGAGATATTGGAAGACTGCTATCCTGTCTCCCCTGGTCCTTCTTTTCATTAAACTAGACATCCGCAATTTCCAGCAACTGTGCTTCATATGTTTTAGCCTCCAGTCCCCTAATCATCTTTGTTGCTCTTCTCTGCACTTTTTCTACAGTCTCAACATCTTTTTATATCATGGTGACCAAAACTGAATGCAGTATTCCAAGTGTGGCCTTACCAAGGCCTTATAAAGTGGTATTAACACTTCACGTGGTCTTAATTCTTTCCCTCTGTTGATGCAGCCTAGAATTGTGTTGGCTTTTTTGGCAGCTGCTGCACACAGCTAGCTCATATTTAAATGGTTGTTCACCAGGACTCCAAGATCCCTCTCACAGTTACTGCTATTGAGCAAGGTACCACATATACTGTACCTGTGCAGGAGCAGGAGTTTTCATTAGGAACACCTCTGTTGTGGAATTTCTACTCTGACAAATCCCCTACCCCCTCCAAATTACAATATCCCTCATGCATCTCTCTTTCAGATTGGGCAATATTACGCAAAGCAGAAAGTCCCCCTAAAATACTAAGGCAGAGAAATTAGAGGCCTAAGAAAAAGAAATTTAGGCAAACCTACCGAATGAAATCATAGAGATCGTGCCATAGTTCTCCTTTGGGCACAGGAAATGCCATTTCCCGAGGCATGGGAGAGAAACCATGCAATGCCATCTTGGAATGGTGAGCCTCAGAAGAGATCAAGGCTAGAAGGAGAAAGAAAAAAAAGAAGGATGAGACAGGTGTGATTGTTCTTCATTGAAATTATGTCCAAATATTGAAAAGCCTGTTTTGATATCATGATGCCAGGAGATTGAGCCATGGGATGGACTTGTGGGTGTGGGGGCAAGTTCTTGAACTTTCAGTTAGGTGGGGAAAACCAGGAAGCTTTCAGATTCGGGTTTTCCCAGATGTGCCAACATGGCTCTCTTAATAAATTGGATCTTTGAGCAATACTTTGCCTTGGGCTCTGATTTATTTTTGGATGCTATTTGGAACCCTATGAAGATTAGTAGAACTGAAATCAGACTATATTTAGACAAATAGACAAATGAGGACAAGGGATATGTTTGTAAGATCAAAGTAGCAGTGTATGAAAAGAATGAATTGTATTTGTGGTTATGTCAAAATATGTATGGAAATGACAAAACTGGGAAGAGCGCTGTGTCCAATGCTTTTAATGTGTATTTAATAAAAACTTATCTTAAAATAAAGAGAGAGAGAGACTCTCACCTGGGTCAAAGAGCAAATCGCTGGTGAAGAGGTTTTTCACCAACAGGTTGGAGCACAGCTTGATGCTTTTCAGGTGACTGTAGGTTCTGTTCAGGTAGAGGCCAAGGATGTGGCGCAGATCCAGGATCAAGCAAGTCCATCGCACATTGCTGGGGGCGAGGCCCACCAGATCTGAAGGGACAATCAATGCCAGTTCTGAATTCCTACAGACATTTGACACGCTCACAAAAATTTGAAACTTGGAATACCTGAGCTCTGATGTCCAAACATGTTTTTAGACAAGGAAGTAAAAGTATGACTACTGCTACTCTCCACTGAGTTAAATAGTTGCCCTGCCAAGTGGCTGGGTCTGGGTGGCCATAGTTCTGTACCAACTGAAATTTCCAGGTAGTCTTCAAAGACAATAGAAAATAGAGCATATTGGCATGGTCAAATGGACAGTGCCAAGGGCGTTGATAATTGTTGCCAAATCCTGCTTGCATACTAGTCAAATCAGGACAAAGATTTCCCTAGCTATGATTCCATGGTAAAGAAGAAGTGTGAATCCAATAATGCCCTCAATGCCCAGACCTACTTCTTCAAAATGAGTGTGACAGAATCTTGCACCATTATACGAATAAAAAAAAGAATCAAATATGGACATGAAGACCAGAAATTCCTAATTTAATTCTCACCTCAAATAGAAACCACCAAGTAACCTTAGAAAAGGCATCCACATTTAGCTTCTGTTCCTGAAAATATCTTTTCCTAATCTGGCTGCACTTAAGATAGGATGCACTGGCATATCCAACCTTCCCAACCCTACAAATTCTACAATTTTAAAATATTCAGAGTACAAGAATGATTGTTAACTTGATGAGCAGGACGACTCAAAGGCATTATTTTAATTGCCAAAATACAGCATTAATGGATCATTGGCTAATCTATCTTCCTCAGAGTTGAATTGTCTTGTTAGAAAAATTCACAAGTCTCTCAAAACAATCAACTCACTTCTCAGGAACGTTGGATCCAAGTTTCTAATGCCCTGTGGATAAAATCAAAGGCTTGCTGGATGCTGAGTGGGAAAAAAATATCCCAGAAATCTTGATTAGACTTTCTTTGCATTTTACCTCGTTTAGAAGTCTTGGCTGTAGTTTCATAGACTGACCCACAGGCTGCCCCACAAATATATGGGAACTGCAACCATGTGGCTGTGGACTTGAATTCTTTAAAGAGGTTAGAAAATGAAATACGGACAACTTGGCTGTCCTAAACATGAAGGGGAAAAAAGAAAGAAAGCCAGTTTATAGACAGGATTATCATTCGGGGAGCAACAAATATTTTGGAGCTGATAAACAGCTCACAAAAAATAACCAAAGCTGAATATTGTTACTTATATAGATTGTGTGATTTTAGCCAGGAAATTAATCCACTCCTACGCTGCTTTTCATTTTGAGGAGTTTTCCACTTGCATAACTTATTCTGTTTCTGCCAGACCTATGTACTGTACATGTCTCTGTATCTAAAGCTAAACCCAATACAGGGCCAGGATCCCAAGCAAACCACTTTGTAGTTTCATGGAGAATGTAGAATAATAAGAAAGAGCCGAAGTGGCGCAGTGGTTAGAGTGCAGTACTGCAGGCCACTTCAGCTGACTGCTATCTGCAGTTCGGAGGTTCAAATCTCACCGGCTCAAGGTTGACTC